CAAGCACCACCCAGGGGACCAACCCACACCCCTCCCCCCCCCCACCACTGGCAAGGCAGGCCACAGCACAAAAATTGAGAGCAAACCCCATCCCATTTTAGCAGTGAAGATGTTACCTAGCTGGGTAATGAAACGTTTGCAAGAAAAGAACCAAGCTCAACCCCAAGGGCTCCAAAGTTTTTGTTTGAACAAATAAAGGAGCAGTGGTCCTTAATATCCATCCATTTCTTAGATTTACAAAGAACTACAGTACAATAATATAATGCAGTACAGTACAATTTGAGAGCCAGTTAGGCACAAAGCTTGGGCTAGTCACTTTCTCTCAGCCCTAGGAAAGGGACAATGGCAAACCATGTCTGAAAAAAACCTTGCCAAGAAAACTGCAGGGACTTGTCCAGGCAGTGTCCAAGAATTGGACACAATTGAACAGATTAAACAACAACAACAACAACAGTACAATAAATAGTTACAGTGCTTCCACTTCCCTGTAATCTCAAATCCACTTTCCCATCAAAGCTAATAATTTTTAACATAGTTAATCAGAGCCAAATTCCATCTCATTTTTAATAATTACAGCACAATATCCAGTTCTTGTTGGAACTGCATCATGCAGGAACATAAATGTATTCCTTCCATCATCTAACATGAAATAAATTCAACTAGCATCAATCTCTTCTTCCCATAGCAATATCCTCAAAGCTGTAGTTAATTATAATAATGTTGGAGATGTGCCTACAGGCTATACATTTAGAGTAGCAAGTAGTTTACACCTCAGTTATGACATTTTACATTCATGTTAATGATAGGATTGTGACCCCCCCCCCAAAAAAAAGGTTATATGCAAAGATAGATAACATGAGTGGACACAACTATTTGCACAAAGAAAATCTATAATGAAATGTATTTCATATGAATTGCATAAACCGGACTTCCTTACCAGTGCATACTAATTCCATTCCAAATTTCACAGTCCAGACCAATTTCACTTTTATACCAGTGCCAATCTGGCCCTCAGTATTGATGAAAACTCTATGCAAGTCAGAACTAGTCAGTTTGTTGGATCAAAGCAGAATCTGTGAAGTGAATAGCAGTTATTAGAGTGCCATTCACACTTCAGGAAAGGAGCAGGGTGGAGTTATCTACTATTTATTCTCCTATAGTATTTTCTACTATTTGAAATGCTCCTTTGGACAAAGAGCCTCTTCATAATCCTTCTTCCAGAGCCACTCCACTGGAACCACTTACAAAAAAGCCCTCCCATTCACACAGAGACCAATATGGAAATAACCCTAAAATATTGCTAGCATTTATTTAATGATGTTTCATGTAAACAGGTTTTAATACACTGTAATAAATGGTGTTCAATTCAAATTATTTGACATACTTTATCTGAAGCAGCATATTTGCTCACTATTTATTATGATGTTGTATGTAAATTTGACATGTATAGTTCTGCTGCATTCTTCGGGATACTCACAATTTGATATGGTCCAGGCAACATTAAGTATTTTTAAAATTCTAGAAGAATCTTAACTCTTCCATGATGGATGGAAGATCTGATTTTAGGCAAAATCAGATTATTTTTCATAACAGGTTCTTCACAGAACTGTTTTCTTCCACAAAACAATTCCTACCATAAATATGATTAATTTTATAGATAGATTTGTCTATCTATACCTAATTGTATAGATAGTTGATACCTAATTGTCTCTTGAGATAATATAAATAGAACTTCTCCTGTTGATTTATTCCAGAATATAATGTCAGAAGTATATTTCTTCAGAATAGGGATGCTCTAATTCAGATTAGAATATATTAAAAACAAACTATGCATTCTGTAAATATCTATTCTAAAAACATTTTCTTGAAGTTGCTAGGAGGGCAAACCCACAAATATGTGGTTACAGTATATGATTGCAGATAAATAGCATAAGTCTATGTTCAGTGCAACTTACTTCTAAGATAGCAATTATAAAGATTTGAACAAAATCCTGTAGAGATATAAAAATTTAGAACATTGTCCTTGGAATCACCATAAGAGAAAAAGGGCTTTAGATTCATGAGATGGATATTGACCTTTTTCCTCTGATTCTCAATTTATATGAATTAAGTTTAGGAAGATTTTTAAAAGAAGAAATATAGTTTAATTCATTTCCATATTTTGAAAGAACTGCCACAGTTAGAGGTTGGATCCAGTTAATATATTGATATAGACTGTTTCTTCAAACTTAGAATTTGCAGGACCATAGAGACAGAAGTAGACAGTGTTTCTCAACTTCAACAGGTTTAAGATGTGTGGACTTCTGCTTCATGCTGGCTGGGGAATTCTGGGAATTCTGGGAATTGAAGTCCACTCATCTTAAAGTTGCTGAGGTTGAGAAATACTGATTTAGACCAAACATTTAAAGTATTAAATTAAATTAACCCCCCAAAAGATTGCTTGTTCTGAACACATCTAGTGTCTTGCCCATCTCTAATATGCAGTCATATGCATTCTAACCTAACAGTCTGTCCCATTGTTACTGATAGGTCGTACAGATCAAGAAGTAAATGTAAGATCTCTAACAAAACATTATTCACAAACAGCAGTTTTCTGTATCTTGGGGAAGTCCCCTGTATCTATCCTCTCATTTATGCCAGATTGCTTTGCAAAGGTGTAGTAAACAATGAAATAATAAGCAAAGAAAGTTCATTTTTATAGATTGTTGTTGCAAAAAATCCCCTCACTTTATACATCAAGACATTACTGGGGGATGAGAATCTGTGGCCCTCTTTGACTGATATTCAGTAAATGATATTGTAGGATTATTGATAGAAAATTGTTTCAGAGGTGTAATGTTTATTTTCTTGAGTAGGAGAATCCCTTCCGCTGAGCTCAGGAAACCAGATAACTGTCCGATTTACTTCAGTTGGGCCTGTTACAGCTAAAGGATTTCACTTTGTTTATCAAGGTATGAGATATAAATACCTCCAATGTGTTTCAATTAATTCTGTTTGCTAATTTCTCACCTTTCATTTGACTTTCAGAGGTTATTTTTTTTAAAGAAAGTTCAAAATTGTATTTAGAATCACAGAAATACCATCTTACTGTTATATTTCTATGTCTAATTATTTTGAATTTTCTGCTTATTATTAACATTCTGAAGATGTAGCTATGTATAAATAGTAGAAAATCTAAAGGTCAGTACAGGAATGCACCTGGACCTAAACAGAAGTAAACTGGCTTGAATGTTGCAGCAAATATCTAAGCAGTAGCCCAAAGAACCACTCCACACTTTTTCTGTATTTAACAGACTGTGTTTAACACAGATCAAGGCGTATTCATATTTTCCTGTTATATGTGGAAGTAGCAGAAAAGCTGCCAAGTGTGTGGAAATGCTGCAAGGAAAAAGTTACATATCTGACCTTTTCATACAACTGGTTTTATTTGCATTTTTTGTGCATGTTTTCTCAGAGTATAAAAAAAGTTTGAAATCTGAAGGAGAAAAGTGATGGCAAGTCCTTTTCCCATTTCAGTTATAATCCAATCTATTAATATTCAGTCTAACCTTTTGCTCAGATACATATTTCTATATCTGAATATAGACAGTGTATTATATTGAGCTGTAGAACTAACTTTGTGATTAAATATTAAAACATGACCCTTGATTTACAAGGCAATCCTATCCATGTCTACTTAGAAATAACTTCAGTGGGATAATCTAGTGTGCATAAGAATACAGCTTTCCATTGTTTTCCCTTTTTTGTAAATGGATCCGACATTTTAAAAATGATTGCATGTCAACATTTGCTACCATAATTCAGCCTTTTATAAAATCTGAATATCAAAATGACAAGCAGAGCAGAGATTCATAAAAATGTAGTCAATCAATTTAAATATCTACCCATCACAGAAATAAGCATTTCACTTAGTATATTAATTGAATGAAGTACTTTCCCTATTATTTTGCAAAATGCTTGCAACACTAGTTCTGTTATCTAATGGTCATGGAAGTTTTTGTTGAAGTTTTAGACCTCTGAGCTTTTTGTGATAAAGATATTTAATATTATCCCATCTTCTGCCATGAAGCAGCATGCATTATTTCTTCTGTGTTTCTAGCGGTTCCAAGAACAAGTGCAACACAGTGCAGTTCAGTGCCTGAACCACGATTTGGAAAAAGAATTGGAAATGAGTTTGCAGTTGGTTCACTGGTTCTTTTTGAGTGTAATCCAGGCTACATTCTGTATGGGTCAATAGCAATTAGATGTGATACAGTGCCCAATGCTTTGGCCCAGTGGAATGATTCCCTTCCTACATGTGTTGGTGAGTAGCAAAAACTCGATTATTTGCAGATGCCTGCTATTTTTACTTTATGGGATGTAGGGTTTATTGTACAATTTTTATTCTTCAAGATAAAATGACCTGTTCCTTTGATCCTTTTATAAACCCTTTAGCACTAGCATCATGCTATCCTGCTTTAAGATTTATTAAACTTCCCACAACCATGAAGGAAGGCACACACACAAAAATGGCAAAGGACTACCATCTTCTTCAGGCTGAGCTCCTGGTGATTCACAGTTATGTCCATGGAGATATCTGCATTGTTTTATTATTTATTTTCTTGTATGCTGCCTCAGTTGCACTTGACGCTAAGCAGAATATGCTCTCGTTCAATCAACTGATTAAAATAGTCCAGTAACAAAATACAGCAATAAGATTTTTGGGGAGCTGGAGGGGGGAGGGGCAATATAGGTTTAGTCACTGGCTTCTTCTCAGATGTTTTTCAAGTTTCCATTCTGGCTTACTCCCCTACCCCTTGCCCACCAGTATATATTACAATCTTGACTAACTTAAGTAGGTAGATAGTATATCAGTTATATGAATAAGTAAAGCACAAACAATAATGTTACTTGACCAAACAAATGTTGTCCTTATCAAAAGAGTATATAAGGGCCAAATATAATTCCCACACAAATGCATTCCATAGCAGAAACAATGAACTAGAACGCCCACTTTCACAATCTTTGCATTCAGTTAGCCCCTACTTCATGTTTCTCTTGAGTTAGTTAAATTTAAATAATTACATTAAATTAATACATACAAACACACTTTGTTTGCTCTAATGAAATTTGATTAGAACAGTGTAAAAATCTATTTTTTCATTAGAATGCCATACGGAAAATATATGCTTGCATTATTTTAGACAAATCCTATTGGCTGCTTTTTAAAAAAGATCAATAATAATTTGAAAGATTTGCAGATTCAGTTTATAATGATGATTTTAATAATTTAATCCCTTCAAAGATAGTGACCATGATATCTGCAGAATTTGTTCATTCCTGATGTACCTACCTGTTTTGAAATCATTGTGTAGTGCAATGTTTCTCAACCTTGGCAATTTTAAGATGTGTGGACTTCAGCTCCCAGAATTCCCCAGCAAGCAAATACTGGTCTAGCCAATGCCAAGTAGATTAGATGAAGACACAGTGGGCCTTTTTTCCTGACCAACTCAGACTCCAATAAGGGGAAAGTTATAGCAGCAACAACAGCATGGAAGGTGAACCCATTGAATTACTCTTAACCGGGGAGTTGGGCTATATCTTAAAGTCTACCCCCATCTTGTCCCTCTGTATTGACTCTGTGGTTCATAATCTGGAATCAGCACCTGGGCTTCTGAATCATGAAGAATGTTGCAAACACTTTACGTAAGCACTGCAAGCTGAATGATGCAGTGGAAGATGATGAGGCCAAACTTCTTGGAGTAGAAGCTTTCTCAACAGCTGCCATTGGGAAAAATGTTAATGACTACTGGGTAGATCTGGGAGGAACTCAACTTCCTGAAGCAGAAGAGCAAACACACAGCAAAGCAGTCAGAATATTGAAAACAATTTTCTGACAGCCTGCTTCATGTCTTGTCTCTGGAAATCTTGATTCTGCTTTGCCTTCCTGGGGCTCCTCAGTCTTTGCTGTGTGTTGACTATAGTTCTTGTCTAACTCTCTGGTATATGATAGTATATCATTGTTTTTTAACTCATAGATTGCACTGGGACATTCTTTTGCCTAAAGCCCTTTAGGCGACGGGCTTGTGTTTTCCTGACCTCAGCCTGCTCAACTCAATTCTCAGAGTCTGTAAGACAGAATACCTTTTCATGTAATGACTTTCCCAGAGAGGCTCATCTAGGCTGACAAAAGTGTCTTTTCAGTACCAGGCAAAGGCATTCTTATTTTTCCATTCATTTTTATGTTTTTATTCTATGGTGCCTTAGTAATATGTTAATTATTGGATTTTTAGTTTTACTATATTCATTGATTTAACTTTGTCCGGGTTGTAAATGTGGTGTACTATTTGGATGCCTTTTGTTTTAAAGCAATAGTTGTGTTTTTAAGTTACATTTTAATTGTATTTCACACACTTGCGTTTTTATTTATTTATCAAATTTTCTATGGCCACCCATCTCACACAAAGCGACTCTGGGTGGTGTACAATAAAACCAACAATTAAAACATACTACAGAGACAAAACAATTAAAACAATTAAACATAAATAAAGCAAGATCATGAGAGGGAATGCATGAGAATGTTACACATGATGCAGCCAGTGTATGGGCTTCCTGTTTCCAGGGATCCCCAGGCCTGTTCAAAAAACATGTTTTAAGGGATTTATGGAAGATCGCAAGGGTTGGGTCTGACCTCACCTTAGGGGGGGGGATGATGTTCAAAAGAACAGGTGTTGTGGCAGAAAGGGTTTGCCTCCTAAGCCCCATCAGATGGAACTCCTCACAGATGTGACCTGCAACATGCATCTCCTGCCAGACCTGATGGAGCAGGTAGATGTAATCAGGGAGAGGTGGTCCCTCAGATAATCTGGCCCCATGCCACATAGGGCTTTACGGGTCAAAACCAGCACCTTGAATTGGATCCAGAAGCAAACTGGTAACCAATGCAGCTCATGGAGCAGAGATGTAATGTGTGTCCTTTCCTTGTTTTACAACCTGTACAGTCAGAGTAACAATTGTTACAGAGCAGCTTCTTCACTGAATGAATTAAATATTAAAAATGTATTTTGTTGAGGAAGGTTTACAAGCCCAAAATATTATTCATAACTGCACATTGCTCTTCTAACACAAGCCTGCAGTTAGGAAATGAGATTAGTAATTGAAATGCTGCACATGGCCATGGCTTGCTAGCAAATATCTCAATGTTTCCTTACAGATATCAATTATCAATCATTGTGTCTGCTCTTGCTTTTACCAGTAATTATTTAAACTGTTTAAGTGACACTGACCTTTAGTTTATTCATGTAGTCCCTGACAGATTTTATCAGTTATGTGCACTACAAAGTGTAGCTCCTGTATTCATTAGTCAGATAAGTTTCCTTCTTCTACATATTCTTCAAGTTCTCATATTTGTATCTAATGAAATGAGCCACAGGACTTAATAATGCTCTTCTGCCAGAATGATGTATTGGCTACTAATAGTGCTGATAAAACTTCTCATCAATCATTTCTTCAAGCTATTAAAACTCGAGCAGAATATCTGTATTTAGATGACAGCCTAATGTGATTATATTAGAATGTTTAGTGGCTTGACCAAAAGTATCATTCATGTTTAGCATCAAATCTCAGTGCAGGACCCAGCTGCTTACTTTCTATTTATGTCTAATGTTACTGTCATTGGGATGATATCTATACTGGATGCAAACCACTATTTATGTTGTATGTAATATAAATATGGATATTATTGTTTTGAGAAAGTCTGAAGGGTGATTTAGCTACATTAATATCACTGATAAAATAAATCTGGCTTGAATTTTAAGAAATGGTGTCACAGTAGGATTAAATATAAAGGCTTCAGAGTTATGTATTGCAAGCCCTACATATCGAGCAATAGTCCTTCAGCACCACTCTTTACTGTAATGGACTACAGTAAAGACAGAACACACTATACAACAGTGTTCCCAAATTCAGTCCCTGGTTGATTGTTCAAAAGCTGCCAAGAGTTCACTAGGATCTCACTTCCCCCATTCAATTATTATTTATTCTTGCATTTATATTTCACCTTTCTTTGGGAGTTCAGGATGAAATGGGATATCTCCCCTAATATTATCTCCATAATAAGAATTTCCCAGCATAGGAAATCCAAAACAATATTTATGGTAACTGAACTGGATCTTGATAATCCTTTCACCTCACTCTTTGCTGACTGAGGTTTATGGCCCACCTTTCCAACTTGGCAGCTCATTCAGATGTTCCATACATCTTCTAGGTCAGGAAACATAACCTGTACAGTAGTCTCAGGATTACATGGAGTCTGTAGAGAACCACAGAGATGACCGTGGAGAAGGAATGTCACAGTTGCAACAAATATTGCTTTGGAGTACCTGTGCTAGAAGGATTTCATGATTCCTCTGGCCTACATCAATAGTTCCAAAAGTTTATGTGCAGTCTGCTTTGGCCTGAAGAAGCTTGTATATCCTTGTCTTAAATAGAAGAATGATTGTAATAAATAACTGATCTTACAGAAAATTGATGCCGAGGCAGTATCCTCAATACCACTGTTCAGGTCCTTCCCTAAAAAGGTGATCAGAGACATATTGGCAATAACTCCCAAAGGAAGCATTGCCTTTCAATCAGTGTACATTTCTCAATTCCATCAAGTTATGCCCATGTGAAAAAAAACTCACTGACAAAGGAATATATTATCTGAGACAAAGAAGAAATACTTGCTGAGTGTAGATGCTAGGTTTTGCCCTGAGTAAAATCATCAAGTCTGTAGGAGCAACATGCAAAAAAGATCAGTTAGAACAACAGCATAATGAAGTAAATTACGTATAAATAATTACAGTATTATATCCAGTTTACTCATTTAAAAAAAAAAAAAATCCAAAATAAGTTTTAAAGTAAGTTGATATGTTTCCAGTTTTTGAAACAGAGAATCTGTTGTGTAAAGGATTTATTTCTTTACTTCTTTCTTTGTCTTCTATTTCTTTTCTAGTGTCTGACTTGAATTGTATGGTAAAGCTGCTTAGATTGATGATGTTTGTAATTATGTAAACTTTTATTACATCGTGTCTCTGTTTTGATACATGAACCATTTCCATAGTTAATGTATCTGCTTCCAGTGCCCTGTGGAGGTATTTTAACTAAGCGCAAAGGAACCATTTTATCTCCGGGATACCCTGAGCCTTATGACAACAATCTGAATTGTGTGTGGAAGATCACAGTGCCGGAGGGAGCTGGGATTCAGGT